TTATTGTCTTGTGATAATAGCATATGTTTAGGAAATGGAACATAATTTTCAAGACTTTCTTATGTACTTTATCTTTTGAGCCTTACATAAAAACCCTAGGAGGCACTCAAGGTTTATAAACATTATCTGAGGAGAAGCCACCAAGATATTTAATGACATGCCCATGGTCCCCAAATTGTTCTTTCTGGTCATTATTCTTTCTAAAACACTAGCTTTCTCTCAAAGAACATTTGGAGAGAAATATCCCTTGGGAAAAAATAAGTACAAGCATACACAATTAGCTTGCTAGACAGGTAATATTTTGGTTTGCCAACAGATGTAAAGATGGAAGCCACAGGTTCAATAAGGGATCTATTCAGTTAAGGTCAGATGTGTAGACTTCTATAGAATTTGCTAATCATCCTTAAAGCCTTAGTCAGCGAAGGGGTTATTTGCCATGACTTCCTTGAACTCTGGGAAAGGAAAGGGATTAGGAAGACAAAGTCAAACCACTCGATTAAAAGATGATTTCTTGGTATATTTTTCCCAAAAAAAGTAGCATTCTTTTAAATAGTTCCACTATTTTGGTACTAATGTTTTTGTTTATTTTTGTTAGCGATCTTCTCTCCACATATGAAATTAGAAAACATCTCAAGCATCAATTATACAGAGAACTTTGGAGAAAAACATCTTTAAGATGCTACACCTTGAAATTAAAGTACCATTTATGAGAGTATTGGATTCATCATATACAGTGAATAAATGTCTCTAAGTATACAAAATTTTGATGACATAGTGAAATATCTGGTGTTTATTTTTATTAGCTTAGCTATAAGGGCATAAACTCTGATAGACAAAAAGGATAAATATTTTCCATAAATCTGGTTACAAATATCTGTTTTTATTTTCTACCTAAAAGTCAATATGACCTTCTCCATGTTATACTGTATTGAAAAGTACGATTTAGCCAACTTTTTCCTATTTTTTTTTTTTTTTTTTTGGTTGTTGTTCCTTGTTCTTGCTCACCAATACCATTGTGGTTGGGTCTCTACCCAAGAATTTGAAGGCAATAATTTTAGAAAATCTCCTATGTATATGTAACAACTTTTATCTAAAGCTCTACATTATGAGATAAGCAGCTTCAGAGATTTATAAAGCACTGAGACCACACTCATCTCAGATAATATTCGACATCCATTTTCATGTTTAAGAACTCAGGACTCTCCCCAGAAGTAAGCTGATATCTCAAAAATTAAGAAAATATAGCTTATGGAAAATTCTTAGACAACCTATTCAAATATAGCCAGCATCTTGACATCTTTAAATATTATATAGCTTATATTTTCTCTAAAAGATGCAAACACACTAGACTTCCTCTAATGCTGTAAAGCTTAGGAGTAGAAGGTGAAAGAACTCTTCTAACACTTTGGCTAACATCAGCTCTCAAATCTTCCTTTTAAAGTTATTCAGCATCTTAGGAATCCAGAGACTTGGAATATTATTTTTTATAGTTTTGAGTTTTAGAGTATCACTCTAAATCCTTTATGTATGAGGATCTTTGCTCAAATTTCTGGTGTGATATACAAAGAGTTGAGAGATGCATATCCTTTCCAAAGTGAGCAGAGAAGGAGAATGGTGAGTGACCTCATTTCATGGGACAGGATTCGTGGTCACACCTGTGCCTACTTGTTCACCACACCCATGCACCATGTTGCTCCTAACTCCTGAGTTTGCCCCACTGGCGAGAGGATGCATGGGCTTCATCACATTCGTTGAGTCCCCGCACACTCAACGTACAGCTTAAAGAGCTTGTAGTGTCTGCTATTGAATTGATGTTTAATGTAGCTTTCATTATAGTCAAACTTCTCTTTCCTATAAAGGGAACAAGAAAAGGAGAGTCCAGTTCATTTTATCTGTTAAAAAACAGGTGGACAAAAAGAACTTGTTGTAGAAGTATGACAAAGACCCACTGAGTCACAGAATGGCCCATCTGGTTAAAAATAACAAAGAAAGTACTACAAAAATGCTGGTTTAAAAAAAAATTTTAACAGGTGTGATAGCTGATAATATGGGCATGGTAGCACAACTGGCTGGAGTGCTGACTTACAAGCTTGAAGACTTTTAGGGAAAGAGACACAAATGCTACTCCCAACACTCAGCATTTTCTTTGCTACTTCAATATTTGCTCCCATTTGTCGGCAGATCAAGACAACATTGTGTTCTCTCAACTCTTGATACATTTTTGAAACGACTTGTTTTTACATTAAACCACAGCCTTGTACCTAATCACAAATCAAGAGTATCCAGGAATGCCCATCCACGAGAAGCAAGCTAGGAAATGAAGAGAAGGTGGTGGTTGTCTCCAGATACCAAGAAGTCCTTGAATCTTTTGCTGAAGATCTCAGAAGACCTTTAGCTGTGGGAGGACTGTCTCTGTGAAGCCCTCCTAAAACACAAGGTTAGAGGAAGTGAGCTATGTGGCTGGAGACGAATTTGGTCACAGAGGTATCTGAGGCACTGAGTTAGGGAAATGTAAACATCAAACCAGTGTAAACTCCACAGAAATGGATTCTGTATCAGAAAGGAGTCATGTACTTTTAAAGTAGGTCTCCAAAATACACTATGGTTTTCTGATTGGGAGATAATTAATAACAGGACACATTGTGGCTAAAAATATATGCTGTTCTGGAATATAAAAACATGGAGTTCCATATCATGGTAGAAGATCAATTTGAAATTATAAAATGAATTAATACAGAGCTATTAATACTGAAATAATGAGAGATCCCATTCTAACAATGGATTACATAGATTTTGGGTCAGATGCCAAATTTTACTGAGAAAATATTTTTTTAGACAAGGTTTTATTTGTAAGTAGAATAATATTTTAATTTCTTTCCAGTCTTAAATTTCATTCCTGTTGAGATTGTTACCCAATAATTGTTATTTTTACAAGCATAGTTCTATAATTACAGGCACCATCACCTTCTGCTTCATGCTACAGCTATCAAATAATGATCTTAAAACAGACCCTGAAAAAATACTCATTAAATAACTGACAGTGACAGAATCTTGGCATAAGGAAATCAATCATGTAATTGGAAAATGAAGAGGAACTAAAAGACATATCAAAACAAAATAATTGCTTTGGCATTTTATAAAGAACAAACATTCCCTGTTAGGAAAATGCAGGGGACATCACAATTGGAATCCAAAGAAGAAATTATCATGACCACAAAAGTTCACCAAAATTGGCCACAGCCGTGGTTATATCATTCCCCGCCACTTTCTTTCCGGAAGAAATATCTTAAGTAATAACTTTCTATCTTCATGGCACAGGCACTGAGATTTTGAAGAACATTCCAGAGAAAATACCTTTGGAAGGGAAAGCCAACCATGATCCATCTTAGAAGCTGGTGTGGTGCTCCAGAAGTCAGAGGTGCTGGGCACTGAGAGCTACACGGGGACTGATCCCATCAAAGCTTCCAGATCATTCTGACCTGAGGCACATTGATGGGTCTAGACCATCCTGTGAACCTTACAAACAGACATTCCCTTGGATCTGCCTATGCTTATGATACTGACGAGGGGGAAGGTGCTGGTATTTTGTTTCTAATGTATATAATTTAATAAATTAAATGTGCATAGAGTATGGAAAAACTAAGTGTAGCTGGAAAAAAAATATAAGAGGAGGAACCATCCTATTAAAAAAACCCTATACTCAAAATGGAAAATTGTATTGCATTGCCTTTGTTAAAATTGATAACATTCTTAATATTGTTATAGGAATGCTTATGGATATTAGAAACTGAGATAAAAATGAATGTAATATTAGTTTAGATGATGTTGAGAACTGGCCAATGGAAAATACTTTGTGACAATACTTAGAAAGAAAAGACAGCTTATATATATAAAAAAAAAATAGAACAATTTGCCACAATTTTGGTGAGATAAGATAGAGCTCTGTTCCTGTTCACTCCTCAATTACAGTTCCAACCATAGGTGTTCTTTTGCCTTAGGCAAAATAAAAAAAGACATTTTAATAAGGAGATACCTTCAATTTCTATGTGATTAATCATTTGAAAATCCAGAGTGACCACAGAGTTGCTCCATCCTTATTCTGAAGTTGCTGATCTACAAATGATACACCTGCTTTTCTGCAATGGTTTTCAAAGCCAAGGTTGAAGGAAGGTATGTGACTTAGAGTCTCCCAGATTTTTGTAAACAAAGGAAACCCACAATTGATAGTCATTTTGGGTTTTATATCACCAACACATTTTATGTTTTTTTTTAAATTTTTAGATAGATTTTCTTGACAATAATTTTTAAAAGAGATACTTAGTAAACAGCAACAGTTTATTTCTCCTTGTGACTATTTATCAAGATATTCTATGGAAAATGAAACATGAAGCTGAACACCACCCCCATGGATTCCTAACATTTTGTTTGAAATAGAAACCTCTGGAGAGCCTCCTAATCCCAATGAATAATGTCAGCTTCTAATTGGCTTCAGTGAAATTTGGCTAAGTAACTTTTCCAGGCATCTGGACAGATACATTTAATCTCAGCTGTCCAAATGCCATATCCCCATACTTTCGTTTCTCCTTTAGGCAATCACTTCTACTCTGCCATCATAGTTCTGTTCTGGTCTATCTGCCACTTGTTAGGAATATAAAAATGACATTGTTATGCAATCTCCTCATTTTCGCAGAAATCTGACAATCACCCTCTCACAACCCTAGCAGCACTTGAGCATTTTAGTGTCGTTTATTGGCTATGCACAGTAATGTCATTCTTTTATGAGCTATATAGAATTATTCATTGTATAACCATTGTTGCTATTATATTTTCCCCAATGCAAATTTGGAACTAGGTATCAGATTCTGTACAAAAAGTAAATATAATCTTTTTTAAAGGCAACTTTCCATGTTCACCTTTAGTCATCCTTCCTTCTCCAATGTGAAAAGGTAATGCTTGTTCTCATTTAAAACTCACCAACATTTCTTTCTTATATTTTCTCTTATATGCTCAACTTCTTTATTAAAAAAAAAAATCCATGATGGTGAGATCACCTTAAAAAAAAATCTTTGTGTTGGAAGGGGCTCAAGGAGAATTGGTCAATTTGTTCGAACACTGTTGACTACTCTGATTTCCTAAAACAGATCTGGCAGAAAAAGAAAGACATGCCTTTGTTCATGGTCTACTCAACAATGATTGTGTGGCTTATCATTGCTTTGGGGAGGAATATTTGGGTGGGGTTCTTGATTATCAGTTCCTAGGTAGAGTTTAGCAGGCACATTTCTTCTCTGCGGGCTTTTCCCCATCTAGCTTTCCAGAATTTCCACCATTGACAGTGTCGGGGACTTGTGTCTTCTCCACACACTGTTCCATTCGCTTCATTATTAAGTCCAGAAGGGTTTCCACAGATTTCTCTACATTCTGTCCTGTAGCAGCACTTGTTTCAAAATATGGTATGCTAGCAGAGAAAAGATCACATATATATTGTCAGATAAAACTGTATGTGTGCATCCTATTAAAAAATGTTTTCATGTACATACATGGTGAAATGGTTAAATCTAGCTAATGAACAAATGTATTACCTCACACAGTTATCATTTTTATGTTAGCACTCTCTCTCTCTCTCTCTCTCTCTCTCTGTGCATTTTTCACGAATACGACTTATCATTATTACATAGAGTCACTCTGCCGTATAATACACTTCTGGAGCTTACTGTAGTCTCAAAAAATGCCAAGAAAAGTGGATGTTCAGAATTCTCGCACAGAATGCTAATGATAAATATTTTTAAGAGGAAGAAATCACACATGCAAAAACATGGCTGGCAGAGAGATTGTGAAATCGTGTTTTCACAGGATACATTGGAAAACATCCTTGCTTTTTCTCAGTTAAGTAAAAATTAGTGGGCTGATCTTTAGGATGGCTATCATCAGTTTTATGGACAGGGCAACCTCTGCAGGAGGCTGTCAGGATGTTGACATTCTTTTAAAAAATAGGAGGGAGGAAATGCCCAAACTTGTGACTGAAACTACCGTGAAAATATTAGTTCCCTCCCAATCAATCATTTAAAAATCTAATTTAGAAATGAGACATGCACTGAATGGATATTCACGTGAATGCGGCCTATATTTATTTAGAATGAACAATTCTGAGATGTAAAATTTACAACTCCAAATAAGAATCCTTTAGTACAAAATTGGCAGATAGTATAAAATTGCTTTAAACTTAAAAATTAATGACAAATTTGGGGGATGGTTGCTCAGTGGTAGAGCACTTGCCTAGCACAGGTGAGGCACTGGGTTCGATCCTCAGCACTACAGAGAAATAAATAAATAAAAGTTTTGTGTGTATCTATAACTAAAAAAAAATTAAAAGATTTTAATGACAAATTTTATGGTGGAAGTCCTCTTTTAAGTACATAGATTTCTTTTGGGTCTTGTTTCTAGGTGTCATTCAAGCTCAGGAAAAGGGCTACATTACCATGTCCATGTCAGGTACTCCTCTTTAGACTTGTGTAATTATTGAGCAACTGGATACTGTTTAAGCACATGAGCTGCTATCATAAGCTGTCCGAACTTAAGTTAAGTTCTGCTCCTTATTAGTTCTATGGCCTTCTATCAGGTACTTAATCTCTTAGTGATTCAATCTTTCATGTACAAAATGGAATTACTCCAGTATCTCTATGTGGTGATAAGGAGTTAAATGAGTTAAAGCCTAGGAACAGTTGCTAGCATATATGAGAATTCAGTAAATGTCACCTGCTATTATTATTAAGTAAAGCATTAAACCATCACATGTTTCTTTGGAGGGTCTTTTTCAGCTCACATCCTGTTCTTGATCCAAGGAGATTCCTTTAAACACCAATCTCGTGTCTGCTCTACTCATTGGGCAGCAGAGTTCTAGGTCAGAGCGTTCTTGGTGGAACTGACTTACCCATATTTTTCAGCCAGGTCCCGGGCTTGCCGTTCATTGACTTCCCTCTGGTCTGGCAGGTCTGCCTTGTTGCCAATTAATACTATATCTGGATTTTCACAGTAAGCATTTGCTTGCAGTTGGCCTTGGAAAGGAAGCAGATGGAACCAGCAAGTTAGATGTAAACAAGCAATGTCAAATGACTGCTCATACTCCAGATTCTAATCGAATTGTTCATCTGCAGTTTGGTTGCTTACTAGTAATTAGCCAAGTCCCTTACTCTTCTCAGTCACAGTTTCCTTGTCTATAAAATGGAGATAATGCCTCACAAACTGCAGACAGTGAATAATGTCCAAGAAGTACCTGCATCAATACCTCTCTGAGTTCTTCTACATCCAGGGAAATGCCCAGAGCTCAGCAAACCACCGCATACCATTTGCTCCCCAGATACAAGCGGAGGTACCAGAACACAATTTGAAGCTATTTAAATCTGCTTATTCCATTAGGAAGCTGCTAGATTTTCACCTTTTCTGTTGTCCCAAGAGGTGATCAGTGCAATGGAACATTTTTGAACTACCATAATTCATTTTAGGACAGGTATCTTGTTTTTCTGCTTTCTCCAAGAAAATACTGTGTGTGTGTGTGTGTGTGTGTGTGTGTGTGTGAGAGAGAGAGAGAGAGAGAGAGAGAGAGAGAGAGACAGATAGACAGACAGAAATAAGGGAAGAATGAAGGAAGAGGGGAGGGAGGGAAGATATGGGGAAGAAAGAAAAAGATAAGAAATCTGTCCCTTTGTGTTTTCTAAATCAGAGGCTACTTTAATGCCTACTTTAAGGACTGTTGGTTGTGTAGGATCTTGCCAAAACTGCAGGAAGAACCAAAGGCTTTCCCTATAATATCAATTATTTGTGTGTTAGACATTAAAGTGTTAATTAGATGTAGTGTTAACTAGATGTTGGGGTTTAAGATAATTAATCTAGCTTTGTTTTGTTGTTTTTAAACTGATCCAATTTAAAAACAACAAAACAAAACTAGATTATCTTAAACCCCAACATTATCCTTTTGGAGACTTAAAAACAAGAGTCTCATCTGCCTTGAAAAAAAAAAAAAGACAAATAAATCAACCTCTGGAAAGAATTTAATAATCTTATTATCTTCTTGTCCCCTCAGAATCTAATAATGCCACCAAAATTGGGATAGGGAAATACATATTAAAAGGAAATAGAGACAGATCCCAGAATAAACACTCATTTGGAGAAACAATTAAGAAAGACAGAAATCTGTTGATGTTTTGCCCATTGGTTGCAACTCTTATTGAACTCACATTGAAAGCTTTTTTAGGTTTTAATTATTAAGTATATATTACTAATTTTAAGTAAAAGAAATAAATATGCATACACACAGACACAGAGAGAGAGAGAGAGAGATCAATCTACTCTGTGCCCATTGCTCACCAAGCTCTGGACTTTGCAATGGAATGAAATAGACCAAGTGTGCACATTCCCAGGCCTGTATTCCAGAGGGACAAAGATTCAAAAACAAAAGTACAAAAATACTTAATATAGTGACATGTGGTGACAGTGACTAAAGGAACTGTGCAGAGTGTTGGGGGGAAACAGTGATGTCAAGTGTCCTTTTAGATGAGGTTGTGGGTCAGGAAAAGCCTCTCCCAAGAAATAAAGTGTTGGATAAAATCTTGGGAAAGAAATAACTGTAAAAATACTGTAAAACAAAACAAAAAAAGCGGAGAGAAATAAAGACTGAGAAAATTGGAAGTAGAAGGCCCACGGCAGGAACAGGACTCATGTCCCCCAACCCTTGGCCTGGGAGCCCCGGCCCTGTACAAGTGAAGAGGAAAAAGTCAGATCTAATCACAGGGGCCTCAGGAGGACCTCAGGGACTCTGCTAATGTTCCTCCAGGTGAAATGGAAAGTCAAAGAACTTCAGCAGAGGAAAAACGGATCCAATTTAAAAACAACAAAACAAAACCCAGCATCACGCTGGCCACAGACAGCCCAGACAAATCCAGAAAGAACAAGAGCAGAACCAGCCCACAGGGCAACAGATCTGGCCTGCTGCTGTGCATCTCATTAGATCAAACTTTTTATCTGTCCTAAAAATTGTGAATGAAATAGTCTCTTTTGTGCTACATGTCAATTAAAAAAATAAATAAGGGCAAATTCTGACACTTCCACCCCACTTCTATGACTGATCAGGCAGCATTTCAGTTGTGTATTATATCGAGGTGACCATGGATGCTGGAGATTTTCCTATATCAGAAAAATGGATCCTCACATTGGAACAACTAACTGCTTGAGAAGCAAATTCCAATGTGAGCTGAATGACTGATGGGGTAGGCCTTCCCCTCACACAGCTGTCTGTCTGTCCTGGAGCAATTCCTGGCCACTTTAACTCTTTCATGCTTGAACACATCAGAGGGCTAATGTCCCCATCTCAGAAAACACTGCTCTTGTTCTCTGTGCCCTCCCCAGGTGAGGGGCTGCAGAAGTGGAAGCTCACTTAGTTATAACAAGTCATTCAAGACTTACTAGACAAGTGGTGTTAATAGTCTTTTAATTACTATAATAAAGACCTTAAATATAGGTGGTTAGAAAGCCGCAAAGGCTTCCTCCAGGAACAGAGTCAAAGGAAAATGTGATTCCAAGCTACCTTGGGTGATCCAAGTAGAAGCCACCACTGTGAAGGTGACACAGGAAATACTAAACTCTTATGCCTTTTCAAAGATAGCCCATGGTACCCAACCTGGCCGCATCTCCCAAGTCAAACAAGCCAGTGCACCCATGACTCAGTCCCACTTACTCATCCAGTTTCTGACATTTAAGAAGCTCTGTTGACTGGTGAGGTCAAACATTAACAAGAAGCCCATGGCGTCTCTGAAAAACGCGGTGGTGAGGCTCCGGAACCTGCGAGAAAGCACAGTGGGCGGATTGGGGAGTTAGTCCACAGACTTATGATCATGGAACCAACAACACTGTTTCCCTTTCGGGTGTGAAGTCTCCATGGCTGGTCCTGCTGGATTATCCTACAGAAATGGTGGTTAGAAAGCTGCAAAGGCTTCCTCCTTTGAGGAAAGCAGGCAGACAGATGGCAGGAGGGCCAGGCCAGACTTTGGTTGTCCTGGTTTTATAGGCCCTGGGCACTTATATATGCACTGTGTCTGTAATAGTCAATCCCACGCTTGCTTACGCAGCCTCTTGGAATGTTTTCCTTCTTGGTTCATGGGCATGGCATGGGCCACAGTTAGAATGTAAGCCACTTGAGAGAGCGGGGACTTAAACTTATACTTTTCAATTTTTCTTGTCTGTGCCCAGAAGAAAACTTGGCACAAAAAATCCTGAAAATGAATGCCTGGAAGCATATGAAGAAAACCACAACTTGTTAGCAGTTGGAACTAGACTTCTTTTGTAAGGAAAATGTTTGGTGAATTGATTCTTTTTAAAGCATTCCTTGGGGAAAATGGAGCTTTGAGCTGGCATCTAGTTCTTAGGAGAGGAAGATGAATAGGATGCCCAGAGGGGGTCAGGACAGAAGAGGCTGAGAAGTTGGAGGAAGGTTCTTCACTCATTTCTAATGAGGATGTTGAAGAACATGCTCTTCTATGTGCAATGGGGACACTTTTCTCTCCTGCTTCTCTTCCAGCCCCACAACTTCTTCTGGGAAGCTGAAGGTCTGCTGAGATCCCCAGAGACATTAGCAATGGGCAAAACCACAGACCACACATAGGGACCAGAGGTTTTGAATTTGACAATGGATTTTGGAAAGGCATTGAATTGGAAATGGAGACGTATATCACCTTCTATCCTAAATGTCCTCCAATTGTTCATTTCCTATTTTAGTCTAAAAAGATCTTTCATGTTGGTTTTCTCAAATTTGTTTGTTTTTCTGTTTTGTGCCAGGGATTGAATCCAATGATGCTTAACCACTGAGCCACATCCCCAGCCCTTTTTATTTTTTATTTTGAGGAACAGTCTAGCTAAGTTGTTTAGGGTCTCACTATGTTGCTGAGGCTGGCCTTGAACTTGTGATCCTCCTGTCTCAGCCTTCTGAGTTGCTGGGATAACAGGCATGTGCCACCACACCCAGCTCAAAGTTCTATTCTTGACTTTTCTCATTTTGTAAGTAGGCACTAGATCATGTCATTTACTTTTCTGGTTCAATGACAGCTTATCTGTTGAGAAATCCAATGTTTATAGATCCAGATCTTTCCTGCCCTTCACACAAGGTGTCTAGTTACTTGGATATTTCCACTTGGGGGAAACTCAGGTGTCTCCAACTTCTTATGTCCAAAAACAAACCAGCCCCTCCTCCTGATTTCTTTTCCTGTCAGTGCCATCGTCATTGACCTGGCTGCCACAACTTCTGTCTCCTTCAAACGATGTGTGGAGGTGACACAAACCTCTTGACCTGCTCAGTTTTGTCCATCTCCCCTGGCATGACTCTGGTTTTGGTACCTGCATTGCTTCATATTGAGGACTACTCTGCTACCAACGTTTTAACAATTATAGATGGCTCTTAACACCCCAGCTCCTTAATACGCTGCCAGGGCTCTGCAGGGACAAGATGCTGTTCATCAATTCAGCTCCATCTCTTCACTTCCCACAGGCATGCCGAGCTTCTCCAGCTCTGAGAAAGTTCACCCTCCTCCCCGTGCTCTCACACATGCTGGTCTTTCGGTGGGTGACCTCACATTAAGGCATCCTTTCCCCTTTCCTTCTTTTAGAGTGGATCACCCTCACTCATACTCTGTGTGTGGGCATAAACATGGCACCAGAGGAAACAGCATTCCTCCAGGGGCTTCCCCAGCACCCACATCTGGGTGACAGCCTCTTCCTGGAGGGCTCACTTACTACCTTTGATTCCTTGTCACTATTCTAGGGCAGAATTGCAATCATTTGTTTGTTCAGTTTCCACCCTACGCTGGACTCTCCGAGGGGAAAGCAGCTGTGTTTCTGATTCACTATCCATTGAGGGATTCGTTTTTAAATATTTATGAGATTAAAGAGAGTAACAGAAAAATAGAAAGAAAGTGAGAATAAAGATAGAAAATTATTAAATATTTAAAATGACTTCCATAGAGAATGCTACTTTTAATACCAAAGAAGGGGGAAAGAGATGACTTAGCTACTATTTGTTTCCCCAAAGTAGTCATTTCTTCCATAGACCATGATCGTGATTTGAAGATGTAGCATAAAATATAAGAATATTTACTCATTTTTTTCCCTCTGTGACTTTGTTTCTATTGTTTTCTGGGAGCTCATGGAGATTACAGTGCTTTTGTTGAATGGTTCTCTCTCTTTGAAGACTAGCTGTACCCACAGAATCATTTCCTGCCCAACCATAATAGTGATGTGGCTACGAAAACTGTTCTTTGTTCTCTGAGTGTGCATGTTTCTCTCTTGAGGACAAGACTGTCACCCTCTCAGGCTGCCTACAGTACACAAGAAGTCCTTCTAAAACACACCTATTGTAGAGACCAGACTGGGCTGGTCCCATGTTCCTTCACAGTAGTGTAGGCAGGACACTCTGGTTCTGGGCGGTTCTGATACTCTGAGGTCTGTTCTGCCCAGTATTCCTGTTAACCTTCATTCCACCCCAGGGAAAACAGAAATGCACTTTCCAGTTTCATGTCCCCCAACCCCCGCTGCCCCATTCTGCCCAGGGTTTCAGCAAGGTGAAGAGAGATAGGACCATATAGCGAAACGGAGGCCAGAGTCAGTCACCTGTTGTTCTGTCTCTCTCACCTGGCACTAAGGCTATGCCCCATATCCTTTAGGTTCACGGAAGGATCATGTGTTTTTCCTCTTTCCCACGAGGTAACTTCCATCAGTAATCATTACCGTACCCGGATCATCCTGCCAGATGTCCTGAGGCACAGGGCCGAGGTGTGAGGCATGGCTGATCTCGTTGCCTAGCTACGCCCCACATACACAGAACGCTGCATTCTCAGGGGATGAGTAACCCAAGTGTTTCTAAGACTGCCCCTAGTATTCCCCATGTCCCTCACAGCGCAGCTGTCTCAGGGGGACAGATGAGAGAAGCCTGCCATCATGCTACGCTGACATCTCATGTGCGAGGACATATGGGAAGCACATTTTCTCCTATTACTTCTTCAAAAATGAATTAAATTGGTCTATACAGCATCCATCTTGGTGACAACAAAACTGACACATGAACAGAGACTCGCAGGAGGAGCAGCTTCCGAGGAAGCAGTAGTGTTGAAGGGTGTGTGTAAATGGAATTCACAGTCAAAAAAGCTAACGGAGAGGGCCCAGCACCTCTCCCGACATTTACACCCACTGAAAGTGAGAACACTTTGGATGCATTTCAAAAATGGAAGTGTTTACAAGCATGAGCATTCTAAGACACGCGATGCAGGATTTGGAGGTATGTACCTTCTCAACATCTCTGCTGTCCATCTATTGCCGATTTAAATTTTTTTTTGATCCATTGTTGAAAAGCTTTATTAACTCTGACTCTTCAAAATATTAGATCCAAAAGAAACCAAAGAAATGCATTTTTATTAAATAATGGAATGATACCTCCAGCTCGAAGGAACCAACACTCCTGGGTACTGAGTATCCATGATCCTGGACACTGTATTGGGGCTGATGCTGAAGCCCCAGATAAAGTCTCTGCCCTTAGAAAGCTCGAAATTTTGATGGGATGAGAAAACCACAAGAGAATCAATATAGAGCAGTTCGAGGTAGAAATAGAAGATTTGCCTTTTTACAAAGTGGTATTTAATTAATTTAGTAATGTAAGGGGGCAAGACAGGGGCCACAGGTGTTCAGAAAAAAGTGGCCGTTTGTTTCAGCTGGGGTGCTCAGAGAGGCTTCATGAGGAGGTGAAATTTGAGCCAGGCCTGGTGACAGGGGAACATTGAGAAAGGTGGGAAGGGAGTTCAAGATTCTAGATGGAGGGCAAAGATATAACCAAAATCTGAGAGAGTCAAGTCAGTCACTTGGCAGGGGACCAAGGCTTCACAGAAAAATAGGAAGAGAGGAGAATGGTCTGTCAACTACCACCTCAAGTAGCGCTTATAGGAGCATTTTCACATCTTCATGCAAGTAACCCTGAAGAGGCTTTTTCCTAGTAGAAGCAGAGTCAAATTTACTTGAATCCGATCTCTGTATCTGTAGGAGCTCCACAATGCTAGTATGATTAGTTAACTAGAAATCATTTATTTTTATTTCTCAAGAAAATGTCAATTTTTAAGCCGGGTACGGTGGTACACGCCTGTAATCCCAGAGACTCTGGAGGCTGAGGCTGGAGGATCATAAGTTCAAAGCCAGCCTCAGCAACAGCAAGGCACTAAGCAACACAGTGAGACCCTGTCTCAAATACAAAATAGGGCTGGGGATGTGGCTCAGTGGTTGAATCGCCCCTGAGTTCAATCCCTGGTTACTCCCATCCCTGGCCAAAACAAATGTCAGTTTTTACACCAGGAGAATAGTAGCATATGATTTGTTTTTCAAGTTCATATCCAGCATTCATTTAAAATAATTTTTTTTCTGGGCTATATGTCACTAGAAACAAAGAGATTTCCTATTACCTCTCTTGTCCTGCAGTGTCCCAAAGCTGCAGATGCACCTTGAATGCTTTCCCCGAAGATCCATTTGGTCCTTGTGTGTTATAAACCTGAAAGATAAAATTCCCCTCAGTTAATATTGCTTTGGATTCTTGTCAACATTCTAATTCTCTGGGTTCCATCAATATGTTTTCTCTTGATTACTATAATCAAAGTTCATAGTACAGAATAAATATTTGCTCCATTTTTTCCCACAAATTACATATATAACTTTTAAATGTCAAGTTCAAGTATGATTTCCAATGCCATTTAACCATATTGCAAACTTAAATTAGATACTTTCTGTCATTTCCTTATAGAGGCAACAAACATCAAATTTAGGACACAAGTTCTAGGTTCAAAAATCAACCCCTCATTTAACCCAAGTCTAATATTTTTATCTGCAAACTGAGTCCTATAATCCCTTCCTGCTTAGCAGAGTTACTGCAAACTAAAATGAAATTACAAAGGGGAAAGTATTTTTTTAAACAGTAAAGTGTTTTACAAATACCTGAATTTCATCAAGAGTGGAAATGGACTTTCCAAATAACTGAGCTGTGAAATATACACAGAATTTCTCAGTAAGTTAACACAGGACATTTCAGGCCTTCTTTTAACTAGCCATTTCTTCAAAGGGGCTTTTTAAGTAAGTTTATTGGCTTAGTGAAAAATGTCTTCAAGGGAAAATTTTGCAAGGCTTTATATGCAGATGAGTGAGGACATTGGGGAGGGGAGAACTCAAGCTAACCTGAAGCAAGCAAGTTTGCTTAAACTCCACTGCAAGGTGTGGACTTTGAGATAAAGTACGGGTCATGACTCAAAGTCTCAGGCAGTGGCCTTCCAGCACCCATTTCCTTTGTTTTCTTTCTGAATTCTCAAGGAATGAGTGGATTTGTGACATCAACTGGGAGCCACAGCCATCTTGGCAGTCGGGAAAACTTGGGTGGCAAGAAATCTGGCTAAGCTTATGGGCCTATGCTGCATGTCTCACATGTCACAATATCCTTATTCCTGTCATTAGTGTCTAGCATAGGAGAAGGGTGGTTGTGATTCTCACTTAAACTCCCTTATCTTGGAAAAGAGCATGAAATCGGTCTCACATTCTGTTCATAATAAGCCAGTGATTGATGGCTGAGGCTCCACGTAAATAAAAATGCAGCAAGAACTTACAGAGCTCATGTTCCAGCTATTTGCCAATCATGATTTTAACCTCTTTGTTACAAGCAAGACTTACACTTGGTCTTTTTGATGAATTTAACTCAGATCAGGAGTTAATTTTTTTTTTTTTTTTGGATCCTGAATAACTCAAATTTGGAAAAATTTCTTAAAAATTCATAGGAGGGCTGGGATTGTGGCTCAGCGGTAGAGCGCTTGCCTAGCACGGGTGAGGCCCTGGATTCAATCCTCAACACCACATCAAAAGAAACGAATTAATTAAAGATATTGTGTCCAACTACAACTAAAAAATAAAAAATATTTTTTAAAAAAGAATTCATAGGAAACACACTACACAAATCCAAAAGTTATTTATTTGCCTTGTATACCTTTGGAGACAAGAGATTATGCCATTCAATATTTTTCTAGCAAAATGTTATTTATAGCCAAAAAAAAAGAAAGAAGTAAATAATACTCTAGAGTCAGGATATGAGTTCCATGTGATAAAAGACACTTCTCAGTGCCACATACGTAGTTTCTTCATTCTTACTTTATACAGGATGAGAAGCAACAAGGTGAACAGTAAGATTAAAAACTTACCACACGTTTTTCCCGGAAATCTATTCCCACTGTAGTGATGAATTTAGGGTTGAATTTATTATCTGTGTATCTATAAAGAAATGTCGTCTTCCCAACCCCTGAATCTCCAAGGGCCAGGAGTTTAATCAGATAGTCATAGTCCCCATCGGTCATAGTGATGGCGTTGGTAGGCCTGAGTAAGAGAGGAAAAACAAGCATTTTATGATTAAAGTTGATTTTCCTTTGCCTCCTAAATACAACATAAATGTAATTTCCAAGGTTAAAAAAAAATCAAATGCCTCTGTTCTGCTCAATTCAGAACTAACTTGATCAAAGCAGCTTCAAAGGTGAGGGCATATCTGTCATTTCACTCAGTATAAACCTTTTTACATCGTGTCACATAATTTAAAAAAAAAGTGTGAAATAGTCATGGCCACAGCAATGGCAGAAATTAAGTTAGAAAGCTAAAAACATTTGTTTCAAAATCAGTGCCCTTTGGCAGTTGGAAGATGGTGCTAGGAAGAAAAGAGAGTCTCAGGAACAGAAATGGCAGTGCAAGATGACATAGAGATTCGAGAGAGAGAGACAATTACTTGCAGATAATGGAAGAGAACAGCCTAGGGGTATATTTTGCATCTAATCATGCAGGAGGAGTTCGCTATTATGTGCATACAAAATATTCCTTTTTAATTCTAAAAATTTAACAACTGGTATAATAACCTTTAAAACATCAATTTGAAATCATTTTAAAAGCAGGGGTGAGAAATCTTCTTTTTTGAAACACCAAAGCTTCTCCTTTCCAACTTCTGCTGTGTTTGGCTACATACTTTTATATATATTTTCCAGACCTTGAGAAAGAGGAAGGGCTGTCTGAAATTATAGAAATGGTAGTTCTGCTAATACTTCTGCTGTCTGAAGGAACGACGTTACTTGCCATTTTTTTCCAGGGCTCTAATCTCTCCTGATTATGAGGAAGGATGAGCCACAAACTAATGCCAGATGCCCCTGCCTTGGGTACATGGAGAATACCAGAACACGCTAGAAGGACAGCATAGAGTACTGGATACTTGGTGAAGTTTCCACTTTGAGTTTAGGAGAATGATTTGCTATTTAGTACAACTTTCTGATTGATGGGTTCCAGAACCCAGTGTGTCATATCCTATGTAGAGGAAGGCCTACAAAGATTTTTCTAGAATGGAAAAAGTTGCTCTCATTATCATGTGAAAAAGAAAACTATTGACCTACCTGTGAAGATCTGGAAAAGATTTCATTCTTCCAAAGTTCTGAAGAGATTGAAACTGAATTTAAATAACAATCTGTCACATGGACATGTCTAAAAAACTAGATCATTGTAATACTTTTCTACATATAAGAAAATGAGGTCCGTGATGTCCATGCGTTTACTCTGTCATGTAAGTTAGCAGTCAATGACTGATGAGGGCCACAACCAAGTTAAGATGGCGCCTGGCAGTATGCTAGGAGGAGTGGTTTGTGAAGTAATGCCAGCGAGCCATTAAGATGATGAGGATTCCTTGACGACTGACTGCTGTGTCTAGATGATGTCAATTAAGTTAAGCTGTGTGTAATTAGTTGGGTCTGTGTACCTCTGCTGTCCCGCAGAGAAGCGGCTCCTGCTACCTTGGGTGCCTGCTACTTTGAGTTCTCAGTTCCTGCTGAGTTCACTCGCAATAAAGTAGTTCCTGTTTCAACCTTCAAGTTGCTTGTCACCTCTGTTATTTTGCCCAGCCGGGACTTAGGCAGCCCAGCCGGACCATGGCAAATGACTATTTAAGATTTCTATTTTCTGGCTGCCTCAATGGAAGATAAGGCTGGAGAACAGAACACTGTGGTTCCAGGAGGAACGAAGAGAACAGAGTCAAAGGGTACTTCAGCATCCTTTAAATTTTTCTTCAAGTTAATTATGCTTTGTGTGTGTGTGTGTGTGTGTGTGTGTGTATGAGACAGTCTCAAGAAAAACTAAATCTTGACAAATCTAGTGAAACACCTTCAATACATAGAGTTACACCCAAAGATTAAAAACTAAAAAACAAACAAAAAAAAATGTAATGTCTGAAGTGGCTTCAGACAAGATATGAATACACTCTAAGGCTGCAAGTAACAACATAAGCTTTCAAGATGGAACATGATTGATAAATGAGTCCATTCAAACACAGCAGTGGCCCTTGTGAACTGCAGTTTCCCGGACAAGACTTAACAGGAAGGCAAACTTGCATTGACCCTTCCAGCACAGGGAGGGGTTAAGGTAGGAGGAGGAGAGAGATGCAGGGCCATTGCATGGGAGATTGCTTCCCCCTTGTAGAATGAGACTATTAACCACTTATCAGCTGCATGATCTACCATGTACTCCTAATTGGCAGCTAGTACATCCTCTGTTATTTATATGTAAACCTGCCTGGGACAATACTGGGGCTGCAGCCCAGTCAAATTCTAATCCAGAGCGAGTGATGCAAGCCAACACAGGTCATTTTCACTGTGGCCCACACTGTCCCTTTTGTATATATAAAGAGTGGCCGACACTTTGTGGCATTTAACATAAATACCACCCCAAATTAAGCAAAGCTTGGCCCTGTTGAAACCCTTTATTTAGTATTTCCAATACCCTATTTGACAAGTTGAGCTAAAGTATAAGACAGTTTATCTTTAAGGTGTGTGTTTTTTTTTGAACAACTTTTAACTACCCTCTTTTCTCTCCCTCTTTCTTTCCCATATTTTCTTTTACTTGGTTCAGCCTCTCTTTTTATTACTATGTGATTTTCTGAGTCCTAGTATCTTATGACCTTGATATTTTATCCTTGGCACAGCAAATATAGCACCAGAAAGAAAAATAAAAGTCTTGGCAAGGTTTCTTTTTCTGACAACCAGGCTAAGAAATGATCCTCAAAGGGCAGGAAGTGGACACCTTTAACATTCTTGTATATTCTGGCACAATGATGGATGGTCTTGTAGTTCTCGGTTCTCTGGATCTAAAAGGGAAGAAAAAGCTAGAAGATTGCAGTGTTCTGGGGATTGGTATGGCTCTTGGCCCCTATCACAGTGTCACAGCCATATCACAGAGTCTGAAGAGCCAGGAGATACAGAAACTAAAGTGCCACCCCCACAGAGGACAGGTGAGGGGTTGGAGAAGCAAGGAAAAGAATTGAAATAGATGTCCCCATGAGGCTCTGCTGAATGGAGTCTAAAAAGCATAAAAAAGCCCAAGCAATCACCTGGTCGAGCCCCTCAGTTTTTAGATGAGAAGCCACCTGCTGAGGTGATACATGGCTTGTGGGAGCGACTACAAATTTCTGAGGAAAATCCATGACTCTTGTTTATTTTAATTTGAAATAACAAAAAATGTGTTTGATAGATACAGATAGAAATATTTTCATTCTATGGGAGAAGGGAATTTTCTTGTATGGCCAGGAACATAATTTTCACAGCCAGAATATCTCAAATGAGGCTGCCCGTGGGTTCTCTGTGTTTGCACCCCACCCCCAATCCCCCGTTATTCTTGTTCACCATAAGTTCTATTAGTGGAGGGACTTAATCTCCTCTGTCCATTGCTAGATTCACAGAGCCCAGCATAGTAACTGGCATGTGGGAGCTCAACACATATTTGTTGAGTATAAAAATACATTTAAACTCTTCCAAGCCAGACCAATGTTGTGATTAATGACATGAGTCTCATGAGTAAGTTGGTGCAAATGGTGTCCATCCAAATTCAGGATTTGAATTCCTGTTTATGTGTGAGAGTTTGGGTTAAATGATCACTATGGCACTTCCCAGATCTGACTTCCTGAGATGCCTTTTCCTTTTTAAGTAGTGCAAGAGTATGAAAATCTTCTCAAAATAGAATATTTATGTCTTCACAGGAATAGTTTCAAATAACCCTAGAAAAAGATAAAGCACAGAGGTACTATAGTCTTTGAAGATGAGAGTGTGCTGACTGAGAAAATGTAAAATCGTCAGCTGAAGAGGACAGGGCTCAGAGAACAGGGATCCATCCATTTGTCCATCTAACACACACCCTCTTATTTCCCTGGATCTCAAGGTACATTCCTTATTCTCTACAAGGGAGCTTAACAAATGCCACCTTGATATACCAATGACTACGGATGATGGAATTAACAGTGTTCTTTGCTAGTACACGGAAAAACAATCTCGAGAATGCCATGACAAGCTTATGACCATGTGACTTTAACTTATTAAATTAATAGAAGCCAACTCAATATTCTTAAGGCACTTTGGAAAGCTTAAAATAGTAGGTTCATAAAGTATTAGTGCATTCCGTGTAGATCATGTCAATAAAATAAAGCTATTGAGCATAAGATGGAAAGATGTTTTTATTTCCTCATTAATTTTTATTTGATTGGCTGCATTGGGCTCCAGTAGGTGCATTTTGTCTTCTGGGACTCTCAAAGCAAGGCACTACTGACTGAATGACAGCCTGACCCATTAACTGACCTTGTATCTTCCCATTGCCACAATATACCAGAAGCTTAGAACTAAATTACAGATGGCTGAATTATTCTGGATTTGTAACCTGTGCATCAAAGGAACTGAAGGCACGCTACTTGGGGCGGGGGGTGTAAATCAATTAAAATTAAATTACAAATTAATTCTCTAGTATATTTTATAACATCCTTTTTTTCTGTTAGAAAGGTCCATTACCATTCATTTTTATTTCAATTCTTCTGAAAGGCCATTCAGAATTATTAACAGATGAGAGTTTATAAGGAAGGTTCAGACTAAATAGCAAATATAAATCAATGTCAACCTACCTGAACATTTACTTAATCTGTCAGTGGTCAGTGGTCCACTGAAGCAATCAGATCAATTTTTTGAAAAATAAGATGATCTATTTTATTTCATCTGTGACCAAAAGCTTTAATATAAAATAGAGATTAACCTAGAATTTATTGAACTCTGAAGTTCAGCTTACTTGTTCTAGAAATAAAGGGTAGAAATTCCAGCACAGGCAGTATATTGTCGTGATTCCCACCCATTAAATTTGTTTCTAAGTCAATGAGTAATTTTTTTTCTCCAAATTATTTTTTCTCTAAGTAACAATTTCATCTGAGTTAGTTTGATAGTATCTTTTGAAATTATGCACATTTATTTACCTGACTTTTTATTATGGAAAATTTCAAACACACACTAAATTTGAGGAATTATAAGAGCATAATAGACCCC